GTCCTTGCAGGACACAGCAGGTGTGGGGGGCATGCTGTGGGCCCATCAGTCCTCTCATCCCCAGCAGGGGCCTGAGGAACAAACCCTTGGGTCCCTGGGCCCCCTGCCTACCCAGGCCCAGAGCTGTGGGTGCAGCCCCAGACTTAGGCCTGCTTGCTCAGAGCAGTCCCACCTCATCCTCACCCTCCTATCCCTCCTTTCACTTTGAGGGACACGGGATGGGTTGAACTGTGAAGCAGGTGCAGGTGCCAGGACTCTCTGTCCTAGGCACTGAGACTGCAGGAGGACCACAGCCCCTGGCTCTGTCCTTTTTTGCTGACTGTCTGCTGGAAGCCCAGGGCATCCAGGGTTAGCAGATGCCCCCTCTGAGTGCTCCCACTGGGTGGGCCTGGACTGATGCTCTGGGCTGGGGTGGTCCTTGGGTCGGGGAGAAAGGGTAGTTGGAGGTGAGGGAAAGGTGCAAGGGCCTAATGGGGATTCAGCTCCAAGTTGTGGCTGGTGGCCAGGACTGCTGACCAGTCCCTTGGAAGTGGGCAAGCAACTTGCCGTGCACAGAGCTGAACTGGGTGCTGCCTTGCTGCAGCCCAGACCTTGGGGATACCTGGGGCCAGCACAGTGGTTTTATGATGTCCTGCTCCAGAATTACCTGACAAGTGCCAGTCACTCATCACTCCTCGGCCATGTCTGGGGGCTCCTCCTTTGTTGGGGTGGATACTGAACCCTGCCATGACCCCGGCTCTGCAGGGGCTCAGGTGTGGGAGGAGACACAGTGGGCTCATGAAGGGCAGCTCTGTGGCACGTGAGGGGCAGACCCCATGCAGAGGTGCAGAGGGGCCTGCAAGCACCACACCCACCGCTCTCCCACTTAGCTTTGGCCCCTTCTCAGAAGCAAGCCGCAGGGCAGGGTTGGACTTCCTGCTACACACCTCCTGGGCCTCCTCCAGCTGTGCTTTGCTCTGGGCTGTCCCCAACACCCAAGGAGGCTTCCTCTGGCCTCCACCCTCTTTCTCTCCTGGCTTCTGAAGTCAGTGAGGAAATGAATCTAGTCTCCTCTCCCATGAACTAAAGGCTGGGAGGCCCTGGTCTGTGCTGCCTTCTCCCTGTCTCCCTCTGCCCTGTGTCCTGTCCACATTCACAGGCCCACTCAACGCCACCACAGGGACCCCTCTTCCCCCAGGAAGCAGGAACTGGCCTGCCTTCTGCTGCTGCCCATGTCCCCTTGGGCCACGCTCTGAGAAGTCCCCATGGGGGCAGTCAGATAGGAGCAGCACCTCTGCCTCCAGCTCCTGTGTCGTGAGGGCTGCTCCTGTGGACCCCGCTGCCGCCGCAGTCCGGCTGCAGCAAAATAACCGGGGGGGGGGGGGGGGGGGGGGGGGGG